TTAATTAAACTCCTCCATGTTTTGAGCATTCGGCGGTGCCCTCTCAGCCACTTTGAGGCCTCCGAGATGATGTTAAAATCCCCTGCCAACATCCAGGATCCTTGTCGTGAGGCTACCAAGCTCTCCATGGCACTCCGGAGAGGTCGGCGAGCTATCCCCATGCAACGAGCATATATTGCCAAAGAAAAATGTACTAGCTGAGGAGCTGAACTCCATGTCAACCAACTGCGTCCGCTAAAGTGTTAAAAGAGATATTGATAGCGAGGTCCCATAGGACCCAGATCTTACCCTCCACAAAGGAGGCTGCCGACTGACAGCCAACAACCCTTTTCACAAAGTCTAACCGCCCTTCATCCGACATAGGTTCCAACAAAATCAGAACATTCACGTTAAAATCAACTTTCATATTTTTTAAATACCGGAGCGAGTCCATCTTTGATGTACCCCGTATATTCCAAACAAGGAAATTAACTGGACCTAACATTAGAACGAAGTGCATACCGCTTTCGAGTGTCCCTACCTCTTGCATTTGATTCAGGATGTCTGCCCGTGTTCTTCGTCCCTGCTGTATTATCCAATTGGCTCAGGAGCTGCGCGTCAATTGGATCAATCCCAGGAGAAGGCCACCACTGCTGCTCCAGCTTGCCAGACTGCTCCAAGCGACGTGTCAACTGTACCTGCATGGCCTGGAGTTCCTGGTACCGCAACCTGTTCGACGCCTTCCCACGTACTGGGCTAAGTGACGTTGCACCCTCAGCCTGTGGGCTCTGAGTCCCACTGCCTCGTCACCAACCCCATCAAGGACCCAAATGGGTTGCTGAGAAGCACCTGCGACGCCACGCTGGCCTAGCCAGACCCCTGCTTCCCAGCATTGTCAAGCAACAAAGCGTATAAACCTCTTGCATCTGCTCCCTCCGCTCCTGCCTCAGCCACTGATGTCACGCCATGCACGGGCAATGCCCCTTCTGCCGCCGCACTTCCATGCACTTGCACTGCCCCGTCTACTCTACCCTGCACTTCCATGCGCGCCTCCGCCACCTGAATGGTGCCGCCGTGTTACTTCCCCAAACTATACCATCCCCGCGACTTGGCCCTCCCCGCTGGCTTCCAGTTCCTCAACCTGTCCCTGCACCAAAGGCAAAGCCGAGCACTGTCCACCCTCTACCACAGGCGAAGTTTGCTGGGTCCTCCGCCCTCCAACCTCCTCCTCCTCTACCGTTGTCTTACCTTTATCTCCTTTGGGGCGAGACTCAATGCGCGGCTGCTGCTGTGTCGGCGATGGTTTTACTAGTTTTAGTTCCAGGTGTTTCCTAAAGCACCCCTGTTGCACGTGACAAAATCTCTCACAAAAGGAGCAGAAATCCGACCAGTTTTCGTATTCCACCGCCTGCCAGAAACTATATTCCTTATCCCCTATCCAAATCCCCTGTCCAAATCTTTTTCACAGGTGGCTGGGTTACATCTAGCTCCACCAGCAACCTTGCTACGGACGGTCTTTGCAGATCTCCCGTCGTTGTATCAATCTTCAATAGACGTCCTAAAATAGATGCCAACTTGTTCAATAGGTTCCCTGCAGAAAACCGGATAGGCAAACCCGGAAAACTTACCCACACCGGAGCAATTGATACCTCTTTATTAGCTTTGAAATCCAAAGACCACTTTGAGATTGTCATCGGCGAGCTCTTGATGAACCACATGCGGCGTACAAAAAAGTCTTGTGTAGTTCTCCTCCACTGTTAGCCGATGAGAACATGGTTTGCATCTAACAAAGCCATCGCGCATTCCCCCTTCAACCCTAGCGACAAAAAATTATTTGATTTCTGCATGGGAGTTGCCCATGTTTATTGACTTGGTTGGGGGAAAGGATGTATTAGGCGATATGGAATAGGGAGTAAAAGGTCCTGAGTTCGAAACCTCCCACTAACACTTAAAAAAAACTTGGTTCAAAGTAGAAATGTTTTGGGTCTATGGTTTACACTATAAAGCCAAAAAAAAAGAGATAGATTAGCCTATTATCTTGGGTACAAAGTTGGTTTCAGAGCAAATCCCATACATTAACAAAAAAAAAAAGAATTGTGGAGCTGCCCATTGTCTTGGGTATTATAATTGATATCGGAGCAAGTTTTATCTGAATTCTGCATCAATGAACATGGGCAAGATAAAATTACATAGTGCAATTAATGGCTTAGATATGTTAAATTTGAATTTAGCCAAACTTTTGGCTATATTAAAAGTTGAACCATTTTTCTACCTTGTCAACTTCCAATACACAATTTAACATGAATATAAATTTTTCATCAAGTGTAACAATTAATCCTTAAAGCCTCAAATTTACATAAATAGTCGCGATTCACATACAGATTCTCTAAGCAGAAATATGTGAAAACCGTTGTTGTGTAGAGTGATAGTTAAGCACTTTTTCTATTTCTTTATTTTCTGGTTGGATTGGATGAAAGTATCTCAAATTATTTTTATCTAGAAAATACATACTCGAAAAAGATTTTTTTTAGAGAGGGAGGAGAGAGAGAGAGAGAGACGTAGACAAATCTCAGGAAACATGTGGTTAAAGGCATGGGATGTTTTTCTCTTTTTCAAGGGTAAACAAACATATACAATGATGTGTTGTTAAACCAGTAGACATGAGTTCATTACGTAAACAGTTCTTGACAAAATTGATATTAGCAATTGGTGATCAAAGTTTACTCCTTAAGAAACAGTTAGATTAACCATCTGACAAAAGGAGAGTCTTTTGGCCTATAGTTTTCCATTTTAATCTGCGCATGCATCAGACAAACGACAACTTAGTTGTGATTTTGAAGCGTGAAAAATTGATTGCTCTGCCCGGTTTATAACTTTGTTGTGTAATAATAAATGGTTCCATGCAAAATTTGGCATCTTTTCAATAAGTGGAAAGATAGTTGCATGGAGATTATACAAACCCATTTAGTTAAATTTACTCATATTCGCCCATGAATAGGTGGGTATGGGTAAAAATGAATTACCCAATAATACCTGAAGAGGTAGTTTTGGACGGTCAAGCCGAGCTGACCTAATACGTCCTCTTCTTGAGCGAAGTGACTTTGTGATGTCTTTTCTTGCACTAGACAGGGCTTTTTCCCCCGGATCACCTCTGATGATTAAATTAGTTTATTGGGAGATGAATAACGGGAATGAAAATAGTAGAGCTCTTACTATATTTCTCTCTCCTTTTCTCTTCCATTGTCTTTTGAAGAATCTTTCTAATTCCTCAAAGTACCCAGATTTTCAACTACAAACTCAGCTATCCGGGCGAGGACTTCTTCGTTTGCAGGCTGAGTCCGTTGGGACCCTTGGTCTTCTGAAGTGTTTTCAGGCTGTGTAGCTGTGCTCGGCTCAGCCCGGTAGAGAGGATTCTCTTACTCCTAGAGCACGTAGATTTCATATTTAGAATATCTTCGGGCCTCATGGTGGACACCAATTAAAGAGGTAGTTTTTGGATGGTTAAGCCGAGCTGACCTAATACGTCCTCTTCTTGAGCGAAGTGACTTTATGATGTCTTTTCCTGCACTAGACGGGGCTTTTCCCTCGGATCACCTCCGATGATTAAGTTAGTTTACTGGGGGAAGAGAAAAGGAGAGAGAAATATAGTAAGAACTCTACTATTTCCATTCCCATTATTCATCTCCCAGTAAACTAACTTAATCATCGGAGAAGATCCGGAGTTAAAAACTCCAGTGCAAGAAAAGACATCACAAAGTCACTTCGCTCAAGAAGAGGACGTATTAGGTCAGCTCGGTTTGACCGTCCAAATACTACCTCTTCAACACCTATTTAATAAATTGGTATAATTGGATAACTCTCTAAATCCAATTAACCCATTTAGAATTGTCTTCACAATCACATCCATCGCTACTCACGAATCATATCCATAGACTCTCTTTTGTTCCCAAGACTTCAAGAATTAATTTGTGCTTTTCTTTTTCTCGGCTCAGTTATTCTCTTAATAAAAGAAACTATAGTCATTTTGTCATGATATCCTGCTTAATTTTTTTCTCAGATTCTTCATTTTGTCATAATGTTAACTACTTTTGTTTTATTTATTATTATTATTTGTTGGTTTTATCTTATCATTTTATTTTCTCGTTATTTGTTAATTTGCTCATTTTTAGCATTACCAATTTATGATAAGTTTTAGCCTTCTTTCCTACTTTTTCAAAATGAAAATTTAAATTTCTTCATGAAAAAAATGCTAGGGATTCAAAGTCTTTGGATTAAGTTTTATGATAACTTTCATATTGTTTAGTCCAATTTTTTATATTTTTATTGTTCAATTATTAAATAATATGTAATTTTGCAACATAGCACATGGATGGGAAAAAATTTGTAATTAGAATTATTGGGCATTATAAGTAAATATTTAAAATTAATGATGGGTGCAAACTGCAAAGGGTGGTATAAATTGAAAATTTGGCTTACAAAATAAATTTAGATGAGTTTGTAAAAGGTTAGAATACATGGGTAATTAGGTTACCCAACTCTTTTTTGACTTACCCATTTATACACATCTAATTAAATAGGTATAAATAAGTTAATTTACTTATATCCATTATCCATTTTAACCCATCCAAACCCATCCAAGTTATCCATTTTGACACATCTCATGGAGATGACAAATGAAGTATAAAATATAAATCCCCTTTGGGATTTACATCTGAGTGGCCAAGATTTTGCTATTAAACTCTTAATCAAGTCACATTCTTGGGTTAAGAACAGTTGAGATTACTTTTCAAGGACAAGCATGACAGTTAACATGATAAAGGAACTTTTTGGCAAAAAGCAAATTTATGATGATTAACTGTAGTACTTATAGAATAGAGTAAGTTTTAAGGATCAACAATTTTGATTTGAGAAAATAGACGAGATCATATATACAACTGATCAATACGAGGTGAATGATTCATAGGTATATCTCAAGTCATATTCCATTTCACGATTGATCATACACTTTGGTTTAATCAGCTCTAGTTGGAAGGTGGAAGCTTTTCAACCAAGAACAATGAGAACAATGTTAATGCCCGGGCAGGCTGATAACTAGGAACAAGATGTCCAGCTCCTCTTACTGCAACAAAGGTTAAGTTTTCATATTCCACTGCATAACCACCAACCTGAACAAGAATACAACATAGGATTAAAAAAACTTAATTTTCCTTGTACAGCAATTGAACATCAGGATTCTTTTAACCAAAGAAATGAAATGCAAAAAAAGAAAACGTATAATTTGCAGTTGAATCTTGTTTACCTCGCCTTGAGTGTACCAAGCATACCAAGGAGTTTTCGCGGAGAGCCTGAGATTGTTCAAGGCATATCTAGTTGTTGTCACAGAACAAACACTATCTATGTCCCCACTGCAATTCAAAATGATCAAACTTTAATCAAACACTATCTGGATAGGAAGTTTCTCAGGCAATCATGATTTTTACAACTCAAATTTTTGGCTTCCTTACCTGTACAGCCAAACGCTAACGCCACTTGAAATGAGCTCCTTGATTACAGGTAACACTGTGTCTGTCTCGTCATCCCAATTATGGCCTATGTAGCCACTGTGTGTAGAATTATGTTTTTTTTTTCTTTTTAAAACTTAGTTTAATAAAATGAAAAGGAAAGTATAAAATTAAGTATCCATTGTGGATTTCTCGTATACTACTGGAAATAGAATAACAAAACATTATATCATACATACTTGTAGTTTTTCCAAGGTCCAGGGATTCCGGTTGTATTAGCATGAAGTGATTTTTGCACGGCAGGAGTATTTAGGTAAGTGTAAACATAATTATCCGAGCATGGATCATACTCATTTATCTGTTTCAATCAGAGATATATTAAAAAGTGTGTTACTTTAATTTGGTTTTCATTTAGAGGAGAAAATCAGAAAGGAAGAGAAGTGGTAGTGTATCGAATCAAGTTTTTGTACCAAAGGAGGAGTACTTGAAGAAGAAGAAGAACACAAGGGAGCATAAATATTGTTACTGTCAATATGGCCTTTAGCTGAATGTGCTTGGCTCTTGTATGTTTGACAAGCATCTGGAGGTGGATCTGCCGAGGAAAAATTGCAATTAGAAACTATACCCTGATGGATTTCATCGGATATTAGGGCATGTGTCCAGTAATAATCATAAGTCCTCCTGTTTTGTGTTTCAATATCATAGTGTCCATTCCCAATCCGAATTCCATGGACAATTTATATTCATCATTTAATGTGTAGGGTAAGCTAGTTAAATTAAATAAAAACAATTGATGATTCAATAAATGTATCACTTACAGCAACTCCTTTCAAGTTAATAACAGTTTGGTTAGTTATCTTGTTGTTATGGAGTGTTGGGATATCAAGTGTGAATTGTGACAGCCCCACTTTCCCCTAAGGCGAACCAAAGGGTTCGGCGGACTGCCTGCCCAACTCTCGTCGGGACTCAGTCGATCACTTCAAGCAACCATAAGAACATCTAACCACGATCCAACTTAAAACAAAACGTATATACAATAATATCTCAAGAAGAAGTACAACCGTTATATATACAGAGGTTCTCAAATCACTATACAACCAACCCGTGCCAAGCACTAGAGCGAGAACCATGACAAAAGAAAACCAAGGGCTAGACCCAACTAGTCTATACCGGCTCTCGTCCTTGCTCGCCTTCCCCTGTTAAGGAAAACAACTAAAGGGGTGAGCTATAAGCTCAGTGAGGTTTCGAACACATAGGCAACAAGAAGTTCAATGCATTCATTACATGTTACCAATAATTCAAATACAAAAGAAAGCGATAAACACCTTCATTAAAAGGATACGTGCTCACAAGGAGCCATTCGTTCATTCATTCTCCTTTCGTTCCCTTATACCTTCAATCATTTGAAAATGCATTTGTATATAAGTAAAACCCTCATTCATTCATTCGTTCATTCATTCATTCACCAGGCTCCACCAACCTCCACCAACCTACAAGATAATACTCGAGTATACCAAAACGTTCACCCAGGTCCCTAATCGCCCGACCGAGTCCGCTTCTAGCTCGAGACGACCGGTAACAAGGGGCAATGGCCAGTTCAGCCAAAAGGCTTACATTCATGCACAAATAACATTTCAATCATTCAATCATTGAAAATTTCACAATCGTTTAGGCCGAGTGCGATAAAGTACACACTTGCCTAGAAAACTCGTTTTAACAATCATTGAAAGCATATAACATGTTATCAATCATTCATACCAGCCATATAATCATGAAACATATCAAACAGGGAACACTCACCTATACACGCAAAATAACGTCCACTTCTCAATCACCAATGAAACCTAAAAGTAAACAAAGAACACATTACAATCCATCTAGCATGATTTGGATGAAATCAAGGATTACCCGACTACTCGCGAGTAAACGTATAAAATGACTTTTAAAGTGTCAATAGAGCATATGGATCCATGGACGGGAATTACTAGGGTTCATAAACCAACCTAAAGAGGTATTAGGTTTTAGAATAGTAAAATGATCATTTTATTTGCCAAGCGAAAATATACAGGTTCAAATAGAAATTTAGCCCTCGGCCACCTTTTGAAAGAGCCGGTAACATTTTCAGTAAATACGTCCAATTCGTCACAAAATACATTCGCAAAATCACTTTAACTTGCTCACATTACAAGAAGATAAACGGATGGCATGTCCCTTGTGTTTACCTATTTTCCAGCCATTAATGGCTTCATTATTTTCCTCAAAACAGTCCCAACATCTCATATAGAATAATCTCGTGTCCAAAAGCCGTTCACTAGGCTTAAAGTCATATAAATACAAAAATAAATACAAAAATCAAGCTAAAAAACATTTCCGGATAAAAACAGTTTTTGACACCATTTTGCGGTTTTGGCACCATTGGCGCCACGATTATCAGATGAAGGTGTAAGATACACCATTTCGAAGCTAACAGATAGGGCTACAATGTTGAAGAAGGCCACTCAGTCCAGTTTGTAGTGTAACTAGGTCAAAATTGACATATATGAAACCAGAAACTCACAAACAGGTTGGCTAACCGCACAATTGTTAAACAACAATAGCTCAGGCTACCGAAGTCCGATTGAAGTATATCTTATGGTGTTTCGAAGCTAAAACACAACCCTACATTTCTTATGAAGACCTCCAAGGCCAAATCATGCATTTTCATGATCAAAATGGAAAACTACACCAAAACCAGAATTCTGGGCGCGAAACAGGTTTCATGAACAGTCAAGGGTGTTTCGGTCATTTCACATGCTACAGTGGTCGGATCAAGCTAAAATTTTGCAGGCATCTATTTTATACTATTGGCTACAACTTTCATGTTTTGGCCAAAATCTAATTCGGTAAGGAGCATGGTGAAAAGTCCCGGTCGGATTGGGTGAAAAGACAACCCTGTTCGCTGAACTCCTACTAGACCAGTCTGGGTATTTCCATCTTATCTCAGGCTCCCGAGCTCGGATTTGGCTGAACATTTACAGGCAACTAGAAAACATCATTGTCTACAACTTTCATGTTTTGTGCTAAGACCAATTCGGCTTCTAACCGGGTCGAACAGAAACGGACAGAAAGGGGTAAAATGGAACCCTAATCTGGAAATTCATGCATTCATGTGCCAATTCTTCTATAAAATCACATCTATAACCAACATAAACCATTAATTTGACATTAGCAAGATCAAAGAAAGAATTCCCTAGTTACTCACCTTGCAAGCTCAATAAAGTAAGCAACTTAGCACCAATTTCTTCCAAACAACTCCACAACCAACCTCAATATCACCAAACTAAGAAGTTCTATGGAAAAATTTGAAGATTAAACGGTTGAATTGAAAGATTGGGCAAGGTTGGAGCTTGAAAATTGAGAGAGTTTTCTTTCCTTTGTTCCTAGCAAGAAATTCGGCCAAGAGCTTCAAAATAAGAAAAATTTTGGGTCAATTTTGGTTTAAATGGTAAAGGCATGAATAGTGGTCAAAAGGTCAAAAAGGTAAGAATAAATCCTCAAGTGACACATGTCCTCTTCATTAATTGCTTGCCTAACTTTTTGTTTCTCTTACACCAATCCACTTGGCAACCTCTAAATATCTCATAACACCCGGTAAACTAAACCCAGTATCCAAAACTTAACCGAACAGGCCGAATTTTTCCGAATTTTCCACACTAGCGGGTCCCACGTCCGATATACGCTCTTAATTTCTCAAAAACTAACCGATACTAGAAAAATCATTTAAAAACTATATTTACTCATAAAATTGATCTAGAAAAATTTTTTAATAAAGAAAATGCAGAAAACGTGCAATTAAGAAAAGTACGGGTCCTCACATAAATCAATATCCCACATCGGAAAGAGATGAGTAGAATGAGAAACATATAAGTGGGAATGATTCATAGACTCAATGCCTTAAGGTTTTGGATTGGATGTGGTGTCAAGCCCATGGTTGTGGTTCCCATTCTAACTCATGGTTAAATTCTCCCCGAGTTTGGCTCTCTCAGAGCCCAACAAGTGGTATCAGAGCCGATGGTTCGGCTGGGCAATGACTCCAGGATAAAAAGCCAGTGGGAGTGGTAAGGCGTGGCTTGGATAAGAGGGGGGAAAAATCATGCAGACCTGCAGTGAGGCAAAGGCATGTGGGCTCTTGAGCAAGAATCGTACACTCCAGATTGAAGTGGGCTTGATGGAGTGGATGGGCTAGGAAGAGAGGTCCGATGTGAAAGAGATTCACAATTGAGGGGAGATTGTTGGGATATCAAGTGTGAATCAATATCCCACATCGGAAAGAGATGAGTAGAATAAGGAACATATAAGTGAGAATGATCCATAGACCCAATGCCTTAAGGTTTTTTGTTGGATGTGGTGTCAAGCTCATGGTTGTGGTTCCTATTCTAACTCATGGTTAAATTCTCCCCGAGTTTGGCTCTTTCAGAGCCCAACATGGAGGATTAGTTGAGCAAGTTGAGGCACGTACCGACCGGCATAACCTTGTCCAGCTATAAAAAATTCTGTGGTTTTGTATTCTGGGAATCTTTCTAACCAATTGACTAGAAATGTGTAAGAATCTGCAGCAGTTTTTGTGTCTCCGATAATGTAATCAGACGATGTGTTTGAGTAAGAAAATCCAACACCGGCAGGAGACTCCAAGAAAAGTACATTTTCCACTGTTTGAAAAATACAGAATTCTTTCGTTAGAGTTTATTCTAAATCGTTTCAAATCAATTAACACCTGCTTTACAACGTATGAGTTCTTACCATTGTTCCAGGCATACGGGTTTTCCCACAACGTTTTTCCAGCTTTGCTAACTCGAAATAGTCCGAGTTCAGTCATCGCTCCAATCTCAAATGAAGATGCACCAGGTCCTGTAGTCAAATCTCATCACGTAACAACTTCTTTACATGAAACATCTACCTTCGGGGAAAAAAAATAAGAATAATGGAGACAATTGCTACCTCCATTTAGCCAGAGCACAAGGGGTTTGGTAGATGAATTTTGAGACTTGGCAAAATAGTAGAAGACAGCTCGACCGGCCTTTGGATCCACAGTGACATACCCTGAGTATTGATAAAAATTCACGCCATTTGGTTCGCCTGGCAACGCTGTGATCTTGTCAGTTGCCTTCAGACCATCTTGGGGCCAATGAAAACTGGCGAATACTCATTGTTCAGTTCCTCATTCACATGATTGACTGATTTTCTTAAGCTACTAACCTGAAGGAATTTCGCAAGACGATCATATCCATCATATCCATGTTCACCATAACATTGTGTAGCAGATGCCACTAGGCAGATAAGAGCAAGATATAACAGTAATACACCTATCATTTTTGGGATGTTTGGCTAGCTAGATATCTGTGGTTTCTTTCTCCGATACAATGCTTCCATTTTATAGGTGGCCCTAAGAACAATGATTGAATCATTCCTCATTCTTAGACTTGTCCAATTTACCAACTGAAAACGTGTGAAGCAAACATAATGTTTGTATCAACTGGTATGATACAACTTTGGTATACATACTCCGTGGTAAACAACTCAATATAGAACCAATGTAGGTGAGGCCCCTTCAAAATAGTTAAATCAAAGTTTAAAATTAAAAAGAAAAAAAGCCTCAAAACCCCTCAAACGTTCCAAAATCCCAATAACTAAACATCCAGGTATTCCCCTTATAGTGTGGGGCAAATGTCCAACAATACGTACGCCCCATTCAAATGTCCTTGACATTTGGATCTCATTTTATCTCCAGACTCAATAATGGACTCGTGCCAAAAACCCTTTTTAAAACAATGTGTTGAACCTATAAGCAAGTCTCCAGAGGTCAATATTAGCCCTATTCCAAATGCCTTCTTTCATTTGTTCCTTTTTTCCAGGTCTATTCCATTCAACATCACGGGCTGCCTTTAATGGAGCTTTCTCCATCGTGGGTTCAATGTCCTGGTCATAAACATAAAAGCCATGCCCATTTTTAGTAGTTAAAGATTGACTTTTGATCATTGACCAAAGAAAAAACAAAATGCCAACGTAAGCTATGAGTCGTAGATTTTGGATTCTTGGCTGAAAAGCAACGTTCCCGGCAAACATGGAAACATTAATCACTAGTCTAAAAATTCATGGAAACATTAAATTTGTGCGCAATGTTATAATAGTAGTACAAATGATACCTCTAATGAGTAGAGATTAACAAAAATATTCTAGGGGTAATTTCAAAAACCTCCCTTGAGGTTTCTTAGTATTTCACTTAGTTCCCTTGTTGTTTTAAAAATTAGACTTAGCTCCCTTGATTTGACACTTTGGCAATCAAACTTTAAAATATAGTAAAAAATTTAATGAATACCATAAAATGTCCGTATCTTACAAAGTTCAATTTATTCTTCTAAACAAAAAGAGTATCAAGTTTTTCATGCTAATATTTGTTATTTAATAATCAACTATAACAATAAATATTTTGCTATAATAGGGTATTTTCATAGTGTTTTATTGGGAATATAAATTTCTTTAAGATAGAAAAGAAAGTGCTATATTGTTTTTTTAAAGTTTTTGGACTATTTTTTTAATAAAATTTATAGACTAGTTTAGTGGTGGAACTATCATAATTTGGTAATGATTTTGGGCCATTTATTTTTAATCATTGTTGACTTATCCTTGATTTTGATACCCCAAAAAAGAGCTACAAAAAAATTGGAGGATATTAAAAGTTATCAAAAAAATATTACTAGTTTAACGTTTAATTTGGATAGATATTAAGGACAATATTGATAGTTCTTCTATACTTCTAATGAAATATAAGAGAAATGAAGAAGAAGGAAAATGGTAAAAAAATTATAAAATCCATAATTTGCATAAACATGGCAACAAGAGAGTTTTATTAAAAATATTAAGCTTAGTATTGTCATTTTAAATGAACAAGGGAGGTAAGTGTAATTTTTTAAATTTTAGGGGAGCCAAGTGAAATTATTAGAAACCTCAGGGAAGTTTCTGAAATTATCCCAATATTCTACCTTATCCGGATAGAGTAGAATAGTATGTAAGATTTATTAGCTTGATGGTGAAATTACACAAATTTAATGCTCATATTTTAACAGGTGGGTAAGGTGGTTGAACTTGTTTGCTTCTGGCTGCAAAATTCAAATAAATAAGCAGAGAAAAAGACAATGCTGAAAACGCATCTCCACTTAGAGACTACGTGTAAATTTACAAGAATACGTACAGAAAGGTTAATAGGGTGATGCCATTCTAAAAATTTTGTTTCGTTTTCAGCCTTACATTATTCTGTCCAAATTCATTTCCAGTACCGAAACCATTTCCAAAATTTTATTGGGCAAGGCATGTTAACTCACGCTTGTTTCAATCCAAAGGAGTAATGATATATGTCACCGATTTTTCATCACCGGTGTATCACCTCCAATATGAATGTCCACATACAACATGCCACATGTTAATGATTTATTTATAAAATTAAATTTATGCATTTTTTAATTTGAAAAAATTTGGATTTGAGTAATTTTCAATTTTAATCAAGTTTTCTAATTCACGTGTAGGAAGCCTTTTCAAAGGATGATATCTACTCCAATTAGCTTTATTGCATTGATTCAGTCAATCCTCTCTACCACCCGACCTTTTTTCTTCCATGAATTCAAGTAGACTCCATAAAGCATTTTTAATTCAAGACGACTCCATAAGCATCTTTAATTCAAGTAGACTCCACAAGTTGTGTAATTCATTTCTGAATTGTATAAAAAAAGGCATAAAAGGAGATAATTCTACACCATATAGTACATCTTTGGTCATTAGTTCATTTGGTCCTTAGTTAATTGTACATGTTCACCTACTTAGTTCTATTTGGTCCTTGGCTCTAGATTATACCAACTTTAGTTAATTAACAACAATGATAGCCAAGAAACCTTCCAAATTGACAACCAGTTATTAGTTTGGGAGCTTACAAATACCAAACCTTAATTGATTTTGTATAGGTATTATACAAGGTAAGCTTGAAGAGAATAATTAAGCATGATAAATTTTATTAATTTGATATATATTTCACGTAATTATTGCCATGTCATTACTCCTTAAAGATGGGAAAAGAAACCTTATTATGCATCATCACTCCACATAGGCAATGTGAAAATGAGATGTTGCCATCCTACCGAAAATACACAACCAAAAGAATGAAAAGAAGTTCAAGACATCAGATGGGTGGAATAGTCAGACAATATTTAGGATGAGCAGATGAGCCCAGATGCCTTTGGAGCTTCAAAACATGCTCTTTTTTTTTTTCCCAAAAGATAGCCCAGATGCCATTAGGCATACAAGACTAAGAAGAGATAATGATAATGCTGATGCTGATGCACATTTCATCCCTTAAGTTTGCAATTTTGTTGGATTATCACTCAATCAACTCTTAATTTCATTCGCATACTTCTGCATCTCTTTTACTGTCTATTTGATGATAAGTGCATCACCGAGTAAACCAGTTTTAGAGCTATAGTTAGCAAACCTGTTTTTGATGTAGACCAATTAAATATGAAACATGTGCTTTCTTGAAATCCTCGTTATACGCTTGTGCTAATGTCTGGTTTTGTGCATTTTATGTTCCTCTTGCAGTGGTCGGCTAATCAGAACATTTGCAGATGTCAAGTACGGGAACTATCATTTGACTCCATTGGAGATAATCTACAATGTCATTTCTTTTGTTGTAGCAATCATCATTGTAGTTCTCTTCACAGTCTACACAAAGAGGAAAATGGATGAACTTAAAAGGGCAGAGACCAATGACACAGAATCTGTCCATGGCAATGAAAATTGTGAGATGGAGAAGCTTCCTTGACAGATTCGAATCCACAGGGACTGGAGTAACTGTTTTTTTCAAATCCACAGTAATAAAGGGGGTGTTTTTGTGCAGAAGATGACAATCAAAGAAATTCAAATAAAATCTAAGAAACTATTAAAAATTAAATAACAAGTTACTAAAATCAAATGAATGATAACTAAGGCTCTAACCAAGAAATAACTTTAACAATGGTGCACCTAATTGATCATCGAAGCAAAGGCAATTCCAATTATTTATCAATAAATAGGTTATAACTACCAAATAAGCGATGGCAGTCAACTCCTCCTTACTGTGTCGGTGATTAAGGTACGCCCGTTAATCACTGCTCTAATTGAGAAATAATCTTAGGTACACCCGTAAGATTTAATTTTCCAATTGCCTTACGTATTAGAGGAGCCCTATTCTAATCAAATAACACACTACCAGGGTTATTTCAGATTAGTCCGCGTATTCCCCTAACACAAATTTAATCATGCCAGTTGTCACTAATTCAAGGCGATTAAACAATTACGGATTTAATACCCTAATTGATAATAGATTACCAAATGAACTAATTATCCGGATCCAAGACAATCAATTAATTAAATAACCATAAGCACTGCAATCAGGAATATGCAACTACCAATAAATAATAGGAAAAGATAAAATTAAATCGATCTCACAATTTTAGGCGACCCAAAGCATCCGTTGTTCCTTGACTAGATAAAGGGAATTAGTTCATGTTTGACGAACGAATCCCATACAAGACTGCATAAATAGTTGCGACGTACATTCTCCCAATTAGGGAGGAAGAAATTGTGGAAAACCAAATAATGGAAAAAAAGACTGCTTCCTCAAAAAAAGATGATGACCCCTTATTTCTACCCTAAGTGTAGCATACGTGGACTCAAAACTACTAAAGGACGAAATTGTCCAAAGCCCCAAGAGAAGTATTCTGCTACTCCCCGTACCTATTGAATTACTAATCTATTCTAATGCTTGGCTCTCATGTGCGGCGGCCCACCAGGAGAGAAACGACTCCAGTCTTTTGTGCTTCTTTTTTATTGTTGTCTTCCGCAAATTACCAAAAAGGACTTGTGTCTCTTGTTCCAAAAATACCCTTGAAGACCTTCCATTTGAATTCTTTCCCGATAACTGTCAAAGTGGCCTTGATTGTGATATTTTTGTTCTACTCCCTGAAATAAATGTAAATTATGAAAAGTGAGTAGAATCTAATAATTAATCCACATCAGGTCAGGTAATAAGGAAAATTAATAATAACATAAATAATGAAATTGTAACCGATCATTCCTCTTGAAAAGCCCAAACAAATGAGTTTCCAATCATGCGGTGATTTACATATATATATATATATATATATATATATATATATATATATATATACATAGCTTAGGCATGTTTGGGAGTGTATATAATCTAAGCTTCCAGGGGAGTTCTTTTAGATCCCTTGGGAATTTGACAACTTGTAACAAGATAAATTGAAATCCATTGAGAATATATATCACAGCCTAACATCTTCTAGTTCTAGAGGTTTTCTTGGTGTCTCCAGTTTCTTTATAATCTGGCACATGATATATCAGCTGTCAGCTCATGAACGTTTGTTCCAAGTCCATATGAACTGCTTCAATGCCTACATGAGACTGATGCCAATTAGGCAATAGTCGTACTTGTATGCGTGTGCCAGATTATAAAGAATGGGGAGGGGACGGAGGATTAGAATAAATAATGACTTCTAATTCTTGATACTTTAGCCTGGTTTTCTTGTTCTATTCTAGCGTCAAAGGAATAAACTGCAAACAAAAAAGAATTTAAGAGATATGATTTGCAAGAACCTCTAATTCAACATTATTTTGAATTTAAAAAAGATTTTCTTTAAACATTATTTAGAAATATTACAAACAAAAACTATATATAGAAAACTATTATCAACTCGGAAAAGTTTTTTGTACTGATTAAGCCTCATCCCTTCCATTTTTTGTGGCCATATAACACCCTAATAGTTACAACTCTTCTATTCTTTCCATTTTTACTTTTTTTTTCCTCAAAAACTTCTCCATACCGTGCAACTACTAATATAAGGCCACCTCAATTGACTATTACTTTCAGGTTGTGTACTTTGATTGCATGCGCCTTACTGATTCCTGCCTGCGTATCCATAAAAATGGTTTTATGGATCAAGCCCCACGTAGTTCTGTAGTACATATTGTTACCTGAAGATCTTCTTTGCATCGAAGTCTTTGTGGGTTGTCCTTCAAGTCTACCAGCTTCAAATCTAGAGTTTTTGGCCGAACACTCTGCTCTTCTCCATACAGCAGCAACACTCGAGTGTCATTGTTAACTCTCCTTCTTTAACGTGGACGAACTGATACTCGTAATTCATGCGTGTTAATTGCCTCTAAATCTTCCCACGACCTTGTATTTCTCATGCCAGGAGACGTTGATTGATTCTATTCCACAAGGAATAGAAAACGGACCTCCAACGGCTCGTGTATATGAATTGGGAAAAGCTGATATGAACTATTCTCTTTAGGAGGGGAGGGTTGAGACAAGAAGGAAGGATATGACTGAGTTGAATGGGAGTCGAAAACAGGTGTTCGATAACAATCCATCGATCGTAGATGACGAAAGGGTTGTTCTGAAATTGAGTTTCTTCAACTGGAGGTAATCCCTTCATATTTCGTGTAATAAATGGATGATCAAGAAGCATGGGAGCTGTCCATTTACAATTTGGATCTGTTAGGAAGAATCTCCTCAAGAAATCTTTTCCAAGTTCGGAAATTACTGAAGATGGACCTTGCACCATCTCAACATACAAATCCACATCTCCTCGTCCGTCCAAGTTTGTCTTCCCGTCATCATCTCCAAGATAGTGCATCCAAGTGACCATACATCGGTTGCTGTCCCATGCATCCTAAACATTATGGACTCGGTAATGCATAAACCCGCGTGCCACGATGGCGAAGCAAAATTCGACTCGATGATCCTCCTAAACGTGCTTGGCTAGTCAAAATCAGCGATTTTCAGATGGTGCAAATCAGTCCCATTTATTTTTGGAAAAAACGAGGATGTGGCAGGGCTTCAAGTCACAGTGAACTAACCCTCTCCGATGAACATGGGAAAGACCACTAAGCAACATGTAGGAGTAAACGGCTGCATGGGATTTGGCATGGTACTTCCCTTAACGTTGTAAGCAACGATCAGATCATGAAGGGTGCCTCCGGGTGCATATTCCATTAACATGTTGTAAACTTCTTTTCCCTTCTCGATGCTAATATCCTCGGCAAAGCACCGAACAATATAGGGATTATCTGCTACTTCTTTCAAGAACTCGGCCTCCTTTATAGTTTCTTTTGAGTGCTCAAACTCAGCACTCTTAACTGCTGCAAACGAACCTCAGGAATAGAGAATTAGCTTCGCCAGCCAAGTATACAGTCCCGTACGATCCGGCTCCAAGTTTTTGTACTTCTTCCACTTCAAAGTTGTAGCAGTGAATATACTTGTCATCTTGACCATCTTGAAAATGCCGCAGTTGAATCACTAGTTGATGAAACTGCTGCACAATTATTGATCTTGAAGAGGGGATGGTTGCATAGAATGCGATATTTTCTTGATAGTATTGGCGTCTGTATCATCTACAGGAAACTCTTTTGCAGGCTCAACTTTTGTAGTGAAACATCTCTCTTATTGTAGTAGCTAGCACATTATTAATTGTGAAAACCCGAAAATTTTTTATTTTCTAGGCATTTATTTTAGTCTTTTGTACCTAAATTCCATATTTTCTTTCTTATATGAATATTTTGGGAAATTTTATGAGAACATATGATTTTTAAAATATTTTTCCCATATAAGTTATTTTCTATGTTAATGGTGGTATACAGTGGATGTGGGATTCGCTAGTGCGATAAGTGTGGTAATAGGTTAATTGGGAGAAGTTGTTTACAGGGATTATATTACATGGATTGTGAGCAATTAGAGGTTAGCTAGTTAATTAAGTATTGCAAGACAAAGAGTTGAGATAAGCTTAAAAAGGCCACATGTTGCATTTTCATTGGATGGTGGACTTTTGACTAGTCTTTCTTCACCTTTACTAAAATAATTTTGACCAAAAATCATCTTCATTTAAGCTTCTTGGCCGAAGCAACTAGAGAGAAAAGAAGAGAGAAAGTTTTTCAATTTTTCTTCCTTTCTTGCTTGAATCTTGCAAACTACCGTTTAAATTCCAAATTCCTCCACAAAAGTGAGTTGATAAGCTAATTTAAGACTTTTAGTGGAGCCATTTGTGAAGAACAAGCTCTAGTTATCTTGCTTCTTGGAGTTGCAAAGGTGAGTTGTCTAGATATCTTCCTTCTCATGATAATAATGATCAATTAAGGATTTCTAGTGGTGGAGCATGTCATTTTGTAGATTATTTCATAAATTATGGTTGAATTGTCTATTTTCCTATTTATTGAGGATTTTTCTGTTTTAATATATAAATTATTGTTTAGTCATGGATTGATGATTTGTTATGGTGTGAAATGGAGTTTATATAGGTTAGTTACGATTGTTTGTGAAAATTTCGGTTATTATGGAAATTTCAGATTTAGGGTTCCAAACAGGCCTGTTCTGTCTGGATTTATTTGAGCATGTTAGAGGCCGAATCAAGCTTAGGTTAAAACGTGAAAGTTGTAGCAAATGGTGTTAACTAGTTGGATGTAAAATTTCAGCTCGATCTAAGCTGTGTAACCTGAGAAAAGACAGAAATACCGTAGACTGCATAGGAAGAGTTCGCTGGACAGGGTGGGCATTTCACCCAATCTGACCGTGACTTTTCACCTTGATTCTTACCGAATTAGATTTTGGCCAAAACACGAAAGTTGTAGTGCTAGTCTTAGCTTTCCAACGGCCCTCGAAACACCTCAATTGGACTTCGTAGCCTGAATTATGGTCGTTTAACCATACTGCAGTTAGCTAACCTGTTTGTGCGATACTGGTTTGGTACATTGAAATTTTGACCTAGCTATCCTACTAACTGGACTGAGTGGTATTCATCAAAGTTGTAGCCCTTTATCTCAGCTTTGAAACGGTGTAAATTGCACCCCAATCCGATAAGTGTATCTCCAGTTGTGACCATTCCGCTAAATAACGTCAAAACTGTCTTATGCTTTTCAACTTAAACTTCATTTCGCCGCACATGTCCGCTAGTTTAACTATGGCACTTATACGTTCTATTGGGCCTTATTTTTGGTAGTGCATGGATTTGATTTGACTCGTGTTCGAGTCTTAATTGTGATATTCTTGTTGTATAGGTCGTGCCGGTAATCTGACGCCTACGCCTGAAGCTAACTTATGAATTTGCGTACTTACCTTGGTGAGTGTACCATTATATGATCTAATGCTTAGATGGTTATTTATACTTGTATGTGTACTTGAATGGCTTGAATGAGACGAGTGTGTACTTTATCGCTCCCGATCTCTTATCTGTAATACTGTTATTATCAAATGTGAAATTGTACACATGTGTGATTTGACATGGCTTGGAGCTTTGCCCGACAACTTAATTGTGCTACTTGAGCTCATACCCCATTGGTCTTTAATCGAGTCGAGCGGCAAGGGTTTGGGCGAATCGATAACGGACCTTGGGTTCACTGCAGTCGAGTGGAGTGTTAACTCCTCGACCTTATGGTATACTCGAGTATTAACCTCTCTGTTACTGTGAGGTGTTCGGGACCTGTAAGGGGTGATCGGTGAAGGGATACGGAGTAAAGTGGGATCTACGAGATGTTCTTCTCTTTAAAGGTTGACGGAGTGTCAACGGGTTGGAGATCAAGTGCGGCAAGTGAAAAATGGCTCTTGAGAGCCAATTGTTTTTTATTGACTTGTTTTGTTTATGAGCTTTGGGATCACTATGTGATAAAAGGTGTTTACTGGCGTGTCTTGTTGGTATCTCACGAGCATAAGCTCACCCTCACTACTTTGTTTTCCTTACAGGGATATGAATAACTTTTGGGAGACTATATTGTTTTGAAGCACGAGTTGAGCTAGTTTTCATATAGTTTGAATATATTCTTTTGTAAAGCTCCTCGATGGTTGGAAAACCTAAATGTACTTTGATCTAAATATCTTCCTTTTGATTTGTAAATTACAAACGAATGTGTATAACACTGTTAAACCATGTTCATGTATCCTATTTGGTTTGGAAATGTTTCTTCCGAGGTGTATGGTGATATCTATATTTGATTGGATAGTGACATGACAGTCACTATTCATTTACGATTTCAATTTTCGTTTCCCATTTTGGAGATTTTTAAATCGCTTGAGCGCGCTAATATTTTCGAAACATTTTATTATATATGACCGTCTTAGTAGTCCTGGTGAGAGTTGCAGGCAGTCCGCTAACCCCTGTGGTACGCTCTCGGGAAGGTGGGGCTGTCACATGTGGTATCAGAGCCAGGTTAGAAATGACCTAGGCAAGTTTGAAATTTTGTTCCTTAGGACCTGTGAGGGAAGTGTTAAGGTACTATTAGGTACGATTATGTTTACGTTGGCTAAGATAAGAACCTTTTTTTCTATCTTTGTAGGTTATGGCCGGAACCAGTGGAGTGGCGGAGGTGAGCCATCTCAGAGGCGCCCACGAGTTATTGATTACCAGGAGAGGTCGGGAGATCGGATCTGACTTTGGTATACTGCCAGCCGGACCCGCCGCTGTAGGCGTTGCCAGTATTACTCTTATGCTAACCATGTGGTCCTGGCGGTGCTAGATGAGAGGAGAAGATTTAGGATGCCGCCGCTAGGGATCACACTGAGGCGCTTAGATTGAGAGGCGTTCTAAGGATGCAGGCTGACCGGATTGGAGAGCTCAAGGAGACATAGTTATGGAGCAGGAGTGAATGAATGCTCTGAGGGAGCAGTTGCAGGTGGTGAACACCCGCCTTACTAATATCGTCCGGGAGGTTAGAGACCGTTCTAGAGGAATTATTAACTAGTGCGAGGCGCTAATCCAAAGTGTGATTGGCGTCAATGCGCAAGTAGTGGCTCCTAGTGGTAGTACACCTGGCGAAGGGAGTACCCTAGTTCTAGCCAGGGGGAAGAGTCTGTGGCTCCCGTAGGGAGTTAGGCTAGAGCTCTTTTGAACCACTTTTGATCCATGAAGGGAATAGTTAGGAAAAACGCTAGTTAGTTGTTTTGGCCTAACTTTGTATATTGTTTTGGAGGACCCTTTTTGTTTCATGAGATGACTTTTGTATGTACTTGACTAACTGTTTTTGTGTAACTACTTGATCCGGTAATATGTTGTATGTATATGTCTTGTGTGTATTATTTGCTTATTGGATCATGTCTATGCTTATGTGCCCCTTTAACATTATATTTGTACCTCGATTTTAGTTTGATTTAAACCAATGTGGGCACTCGTAGGGGACGAGGCGTGAGTGTGGAGTTAGGCAACCCACGTCTAAAGGGGCACTGGAAAACCTCATCTGGACCAAACCCTAAACCTAGGGCTGATCCCAATGTCCAAATAGCTGCCGCTATGCAGCAAATGACCGATTTACTGGTCCACGTGGTGCAACAACAGGGCCACAACCCTACCCCACCTGTCGGGAATTCCGAAAATCCTGGAAATCATGTGGAAAGTGAGGATCAAACTCTTGAAAGGTTCCAAAAGTTCTCCCCACCAAAATTTCTTGGAGGGCTCGATCCCGATATGGCTGAAAGGTGGTTGTAGAAAATGGTAGACATCTTTGTGGCCTTATATTATTCAGAAGAGAGACAGGTTATCTTTTGCGGTCTTTCAACTAGAAGGGGCCGCTCGTTCCTGATGGAATGTTATACGCACCAAGTGGGAGAGAGAGCAGACACCAAGAACGTGGGTGAATTTCGTTAGGGAATTTAACACTAAGTACTTTC